CGCGCCCAGTGTGAGTTTAAGCCACCAGGTCCGGGACGCGAACTGCAGTTGACTACGTGGGAGTCCAGCGACATAGCCATTACGCTAACTGTTGGTCCCACAAAACCCTGGCTTTTGACAGGAAGTGGATAAATATGGAAGACTTACTACTGAATGAAGTAAGCCATGCTATGAAGGAGAGGCATTGTATGTCCCCACTTAATATATACCGAGTGTCTGCACTATATTACTGAAACTAATTGTCTAAAGGATATAGAAACACAGTATATAGATGTAAATACCATATATAGTGTGTGTGAAAGAGGAGAGTCTGAGGAAGGACACTTGGGGGAAGGACAGGGAGGCAAAGCATTAATGGCATGAAGAGGTGTGGTATTATCTGTTGAAGATATTTTGTAGTTTTATCAACAGTACTAGGGAGAAACGTTCACTTGTTGAAATATCCAATTTGTAATCAAATAATAATGTGATTGAATATATGGAAGAAAATGAAATGAAAAAAAATTAAAAACTGAAAAAAAAAGAAATTAAAAACAAAACAAAAAATACCTACTTAATAACCACAGTAAGCTATATAGCCTCTGCAAGTTGCTACTTTATAGTATGTTCATTCTACTCACTGAGTGTTATGCCTAAAGTCAGACATGTGTTCATAGATATGTTTTTATCAGCTGCACTTGCTATTGAAAGTATTTAGATTAATTAACATCTTTTGTGAATCAATAAAACGTGAAAAAAAAGTATAGAAAGCAAATGTAGATACCAGACACAGTGTGGGAGGAGGGTGGGAAATGGCGGAGGGTAAGAGGAGGGAATCAAGGGGAAAAAAAGAAAAGAAGCAAAATATATAAGAAATAAGAAATGGAAAATTAATTGTTGACAATAACGGTAATATCCTTGATTGAGCCAATATACAGTGTATTCTGATGGGAAAAATTATTTTTTGCTGCAATGATATACAGTAAATTAATATAAGATAAATACAATAATAATAATTAATAAAATTAAATAAAACAAATATAAATAATAAATAGTATAAAAGCCTGAAGTTTCTAAATTTTGAGTCAATTTTTATGGATTTGGTTAACATTTTTCTACTTGAAAATTTGTTTTCTTTATATTTTGTTGCCCTCCTTTCGTCCTTCTCTCTATTCTTTACAAACTATTTTTATTTAATATAATATCACATAAATTTGTCAACAAATCAATTAAACCTCAAAAAACAAAAATAAAAAAGGGTATTGATTCCTTCTCGTCCCTTTATATTTTTAATGATCACCAGAGCGGAGAACACAAGTTACTTCCTTTGGGCTACCTGATAGGAAGGGCCCCCAATAAGATCCTTTTGAATGTGCTATGGTTCTACTTAAATTACTCAGCCAGTCACATCTTTTGCTATTTGGACCTGGTTCGAGTCCTTTTTTTTTTTTTTTAATCTCCCCAGGGTTTATTCCATGCAAGCATGTGATTAAGGCTGGAAAAGCAGAGGGCAGAACAGAAGGGAGACTGCGGTGCCTGGAGATCCTTTCTCTATGGGTTTATCCTCTAAGGTTCCCAGGACAAACATTCCTCCCAAAGAACACCTTTCCTAGAGGAATCAAAGGGAAAACTGCAATTACTCAAAGTTTGATGGATGTGTTTAACTAAAAATTGTAAGTTCTACTCCCAACCCCCTAACGTTCTTTCCTAGGTTTAGTTCTAATCTTACATTCAAAGATCTGGGGCTGATAAATAGGATTGCATGTTCAAACTTGTGGCTTTTCTTCTTGATATCAGAGAAATTAGTAAGATTTTGGAAGGCGATTTTTAGGTACCATAAAGAGAACTTGAGGATATATTTACCTACCTGATCATAAACACATGCAAGGTCAGTTTTTAAAGTGAAATGTGTGTGTTTTTTTTTCCCTTCAGCAACAGGTGGACTTATTTTATGTAGATATAGATGAGGAAATATCAGAAGGCAGATTATGGCATGGGGAGAAGAGAGAATATTTTAAAAGCCCAGATAGAATGTCAGAAAGAGAGACAAAGAGAAAAAGAAAGGAATCAAGGAACATTTAGTGACAGAAATATGGGGGTATCAGAGACAGAGAGCATGAAGATTGAGAGGAAAGGATAGAGAAGAATGAGAGAAAGCAAAAAAAAAAAATGAAGGGTAGACAGGATTAGAGAGGCAAAAAGAGAGAAAACTGTATGAAGAGAGACAGACATAAAGGAGGAATTCCTTCCACCTTGGATCTTTAGGAAACTAGATCTGAACAGCACAGAACTCAAGCATTCCAAAACTGCTTCAGTGCCAGTAGGATGAAAGCCATGGTGTGGGGGAGACCAGGAAAGGGTCTGGAAATGTAGGAAACACACAGGTTTGTCAGGGTCTTCAAGGTATATTAAAGTTGTGAGATACATCTTAAGATCAATAGGACTCATTTGAGAATTTTTAAACAGAAGTCATATTAAAATATTGGTTTTGAAAAAGTTCTCTTTGGCTGTAGTAGAGAATGGATTGATATAATCCATAATTTTTAGGGACTTTCTACTTAAATAAAAATGTATGCATATTGATGACTGTTCTTTGAGGAATGCAGGGCTATACTTTACTCATTAAAATTTGTCTTACCAATAAATTTGTAGTTCCCTACAAAGCGACATTTAAGAAAAAATATATAGACAGGCTAGATTTCCCACTTCCTGAAATAAAAATAGATATCTTTTAAATATGACTGCTAAAACTGAATTTTTCAGAATCCCTGATACTCTCCCGCAGTCTTCATTCCCATCACAGAAAGAACAACATGAGGAGGGAGAACCAGAGCAGCGTGTCCGAGTTCCTTCTCCTGGGGCTCTCCATTCGGCCAGAGCAGCAGGACCTATTCTTCACCCTGTTCCTGGGCATGTACCTGACCATGGTGCTGGGGAACCTGCTCATCATCTTGCTCATCTGGCTGGACTCCCGCCTGCACACCCCCATGTACTTCTTCCTCAGCCACCTGGCTTTCACAGATGTCTCTTTCTCATCTGTCACTGTCCCAAAGATGTTGATAGACATGCAGGTTAAGTGCAAATTGATCCCCTATGTAGGGTGCATTACTCAGGTATACTTTTTCATATTTTTCACTGACCTGGACAGCTTCCTTATTACATCAATGGCATATGATTGATACGTTGCCATATGTCACCCTCTTCACTACACTACTATAATGAGGGAAGAGCTATGTATCTTATTAGTGGCGACATCCTGGATCCTGGCCTATGCCAACTCCCTCTCCCAAACCCTTCTCCTGACTCGGCTGTCTTTCTGTGATGCTAATACCATTCCCCACTTCTTCTGTGATCCTGCTGCTCTGCTCGAGTTGTCCTGCTCAGACATCTTCCTCAATGAAGTGGTCATGTTCACTGTAGGAGTGGTGGTCATTACCCTGCCATTCATATGTATCCTGGTATCTTATGGCTACATTGGGGCCACCATCCTGAGGGTCCCTTCAACCAAAGGGATCTGCAAAGCATTATCTACTTGTGGCTCCTACCTCTCTGTAGTGTCTCTGTATTATGGAGCAATATTTGGGCAATATATTTTTCCAACATTAAGTGATTCCATTAACAAGGACATCATTGTGGCTCTCATGTACATGGTGGTCACACCCATGCTGAACCCCTTTATCTATAGCCTTAGGAACAGGGACATAAAAGAGGCCCTTGGAAAAGTCTTCAGCAGAGCAACATTTTTCTCGCAGTAACATCTGACATTTTTTTCTTTACTTTAACCTTCCATTCTTTTTTGAATGCTTGCTTTTACATAGTTGTAATAATCTACATATAAAATATTTTGTATCCTGCTTTTATCACTCAGTGTTGTATATGTTACAAACATTTTTCTATATGAAGATCTATAACAATATTATATATATTTATAATGTTATATATAATATATAGCTATGTATAGCTATACATATATTATATATAGCTATATATAACAAATATAGTTATAATATAAAATCATATATATATATATATTAAATATATATAGCTATATATAACCATATTTCTAAAGCTACATAATTTTAACACTTCCATAGAGTTACCGTACCATAATTTTGATTCATTTCTTGTAGCTGGATTCCTGATTTGGGATTTTTTTTTCTTTTGGTAACTTTGTATAAATTTTAATATAATTATAAATGTACAGAGAAGTTGCACGAAATCCCAGAGAATTCTTTTATATCCTTTACCTAAATTTACCAAGTGTTTACATTTTACCCCATTTACTTTGCTTTATCTATACTTACATGTTGTATTTTCTGAATCGTTTGAGAGTAAGTTGCAGACCATGCACTCCATTACCCCAGAAACTTCAGTACGCACTTCCTTAAGAATAAGGACCTCCTCTTATATGATGTAAGTACAGTTGTCAGTTTTCAAATCAAATTTAATGCTGATGTGGTACTGTTATCTAACCCATAGTCCATGTTTCAGTTTTGCTTCTTGTCCCAACAATGTCCTTTGTAGCAGTTCCCTTTTTCTGTGGGTGGGAACAGGTGTTACACTGACTTGTAACACAAGATTGCTCATGTCTCTCCTATGCAGAAGAGCTCCTCAGAAGTTTGTCTCTGATTCCCATGGTGTTTCAGGAGCATACAGGCTAGTTGTTTGTAGAATGTCCCTCACATTGGATCTGATAACTCCACACAGCTAGATTAGGCTTTTGCATGCTGGGCAGGAGCATCATGGGGTCAGCCTCTGGTATGTGGGGGTGAACTATCACCACTTGGTTAAGTCGATGGCTGCTGGGTTCATTGAATAGTTAAATTTAACTGAATGAATTTAAATTTCCTATTTTAATAGTTAATTTTCCTATTCCCTGTGGTATGTTGGGCTGAACTCTCACCACTTGGTTAAATTGATGGCTACCAGGTTCATTTATTAGTTAAATTTCCTATTTTAGTTGTTAATTTAGGGACCAGCAGTTAGCGTAATGGCTGTCGCTGGACTCCCATGTAGTTGACCCTGGTTCGAGTCCTGGACCTGGTGGCTTAAACTCACACCGGGTGTGTGTGCGTGCGTGCCCAAGATCCTGAGGGGAGAATGGAGCAGAAAGGATTGCAGTATGGCCATCCCCCCGGGGGGTGATTTCTCGCTTTCTGTCTCTCTGTTTCTCTTTGTCTTTCTGGCAAGTGCATGTATCCTATAGTAAAAACCTCTCCAAAAGAAAAAAAGTTAATTTAATAGTTAATTTTCCTGTTTTCTCTCTTTGTAATTTGTGTGGACATACTTTGAAATCATGTTTCTTATCCACTAGTTAAAGCATCAGTTGATGCTTGACCAGTGTGGTTTTCTAAATCCATAATGCCTTTTCATCTATTGGTTGGTGCCCTTCTAAAGAAAATCATCCTTTTACTTGCAAGCAATTGCCTTGATTTTATTTTGATTCTCAAACTGTCCCAGGTCTATAGCAAGCTCCTGTGCCTTTTCAACTTCTCCCATTGTTTTTTGAACACTTTCGTATTTTCTGGCATAAAAATGCATCCGAGGTGCTCTGTCTCTTCCTTGGTGCAGCACTAGAACCAGCCATTTCTCCAGCAGGTCTTGATTCCTCTTCATGGAGGATGGTCTTTAGAAACCTAGATCTGGGTGCTGAGTGCTCATTGCTGCTTGAGAATCATTGCTTAGAGGCTGTCAGCAGGCACAGCAAGGAAATATAGAGACATGGAAATAACATAAATAGTAGTAACTTTGAACTTTCTCCAGAAGATTTTCATTCTAAATACACCTGTAGCTGGAACCCTTAAGTGCCTCCAGGTCCAGGGTCTTGTTTTTCTCCATTTGAATCTGCACACCTGTACCACGCAATGCTGTGGGATTGATGGTGCAGGCTTACCGCCAGTTGAGTCCATTGCACTGAATCTCCTTCCAAAGCCACTGCTTTCAGGCTCATCAGGAATATCTGGGTTTCCTGAACAGCGACAGGTTCACAGGGCCCTCTCTGTAATGTCCTAAGGATTGAATGTAGTAACCAGGAGGAAGGTGCTCCTGGCCTAACAGCGGGTAATCCCATCCACATCTGAGTTTTTGTTTGTTTGTTTGTTTGTTTGTTTTAAATAAGAACCTCATTTTGGTTGGTCTCTTGGATTTGATTTTTCATTTGAATGTGTCTCAAAACTTCTTATGTCCTAAAGCCCCAAGTCAAATGATGGTGTGTTGTAGGCATATGATAAATATTTATTGATTGGAATTTCATTCTCACTGACAATGTTCTCCTTTATGACCAGCTTTTGATCAGCAAAATTTTAAATAATTTTACTACTTATTTCTGTAGTGCATGGGGTATAAATAATACAACAAAAAGAAGTTTGGTTTTTCCTTATTTGAGGAGATTTAAAGAGACATATATTTTTGGCTTATAATCCCAGGCCTTAACCCAACACAGAATCTAATGAATTAGCTATATTATTTTATTTTTCTCTTTTTTGCCAACTAGGGGAGTTTCATAATATTTTCATGTTTATGGGCTTACTGAAATAAAAAAAAGTTATTTACACTTAAATAGGAGGAGCTGCATTACTCTCTGTCCATGGTGTAAAATATTCCAATACATTTTTTAAAAAAAGCTTTTGCCATAGGACACATTCACTCATCAGAGAGAGAGAAAGGAAAAGTAAGAAATCATCCTGCAGAGAATGGCCATGCCACAGTCCCTTCTCCGACATTCTCCTCTTGTGATTTTGGGCATGCACACATATGTATCCATTTATTTTTCCAGCTGCAGGTCTGGGACTCAAACTGTCATCCTCCATGTGGGAATCCAGCACCTTACCCATCATGCGACCTGATGGTCCCTCAACTACAACTCTTAAGGGCCCTGGGCCAGCTGATGGCATGGTGGTTACGGCAGCTAAAGCCCATGTGGCCTATTGCACAGAGTCCCGGCTCTGGTGGTGTCAGAAATAAGCCAGGCGCTTATGCATGGTCAAAATCCTGAGAGGAGAATAAAATAGAAGGGCTGCATGGTGCCCACCACCCTGAAAAGTCTCTCATCTCTCTCTCTCTCTCAGTTTCTCTGCCAGAAGCCATGCTCCAGCCAGGGTGGGTACACAGGAAGGCGACACGGGTGAACAGGAATCAGACTGAGACCTCATGCCCCTTAGCATGTTCTCAGCTGGCTACAGCCAGAGTAAACTCAAGACTGCAGTCCTGATGGCCAAGAGTCATGCATATTTATTATAGAAGGAATTTTACAGGGGTAGGATGGGCGAGGGGAAATAAGTGAAAGATTTTACTCCAAAAGGTAAGGCATTCAAAGTATAGGAACAATAATCATAAAACATGACATCTGTTTTATTTAGGTATAAACAGTCATAATTTTTAGAACGAGGAAGTCCATTTTTCGGGTACATTCTCTTCTTAGATCTTGATTATCAGGGAGGGTCTTTTGGATGAGAGGGCTCCCAGGAATCTTAATAACCTCAGTCCCAGGCCAGCTTGATAACTTCAGTCCCAGATTGGCTTGAGAACTTGAGCCCCAGGTCAGCTTGAGAACTTCAGCCTCAGGCTAGGGTGGCAGCAAATTGCTGGTTATTTCTAGGGCCTAGAAATAAATCCTGTCTGGTTTAGTAAAGACAAGGTTAATATATACTAAAGTGGAATTCCTATGTTATCTCTAAGGTAATCCACAGCTAAGAGGGTGAGTCTAAAGTCTACATTGGAAAGGAATGTGGTCTTGTGAGCAGCTTAATGACTGACCTAAAGGTTACTGTGTACATGCTGCTCTATACAATGGCTGTGGCTTTGGGGGAGGCAATCTTCCCTTGCCCTGAGATTAAAGGTGGCTCATGGTCTTTGGGGTAACAGTACCTCCTGGATGAGTCCCTGAGCCCCTCCCAGCTATTGAGATTGTTTTGCCAATTAGTAGTTTTAACCTAAACCTTTCTAATGCTTATCTATGTAATCCCCAGTAGGAGAAGTGAATGTAGCATTCTTTATTGACATTTTCCAGGAGAGTGGGGTGAATCTAATGGGAGTAATTCCCGTTTGCCACCTTATTGGATCCACATTCCTTCAGGATTATTGTAAAAGTTATAATAAGGCAGAGGGTGCCTTTATGGGGTACCGGGATATGGCAATAAGGCCCATGACAGGGAAGTTGAGTGCAGGCTAATACAGCAACACAATGGAGGATCAGAACTCATAAAACTGTTGACCTTGCAAACAGTTCTCCTCAGGCGAGTCCTTGCTCTTAGGCATGAGGGGCAGTTCTTTCATATTCAGCTTATGTTAACTGTATGGTCCCAGCATCTCTCAGTCTCTCCAGTAAGTGCATGCACCCTAAAGCAAATTTGATGAAAAGGTTAAGGACCCTGTAAGACCAAGGCTTCTCTAGGTACCCCTTTGCCAGTGCTGTGTGGCTGGTTTTGCTTAGCCCCCATCGTCAATTAATACTGAAGGAGTGCTTCATGCTGTCAGCCTTTGAAATACTGCCAAATCAGAATGCAAACTCTCTGAAAGCATTATTGTTTTCCTACAAATGCTACTCCAGCTTTAGCACTGATTACCCTTCCTAGACAGCCTTTGTACTCAAACGAAAAATGAAAAACAAAGTTTCTCAAACTTTAGTGCACGTAGGAATTCCTGGAGATCTTGTTAAAACTGATTCCCGGGGTCTACCATTACGAATTCTGATTCCTATGAGGAGTAGGCTCCAAGAACTTGCATTTCTAACAAGTTCCCGTGCGATGTTGACGCT